ACATGGAATTTGGTTAGCACATGGTTGAAACGTACTTGAAGAAAGCATTTGCCCAATGTTGTGGATGTGCATTTGCTAAGAATTCGGTTGCAACGCCATGTCTTGATTTGTGAAATTGTTCGACCTTCTGATTGCCCAATGTCGTAGCTTGGTAACCAACCTAGCTCGATGCATACTGTTTGAATACCGTAGCTTATCCTTCAGGTTCCATTGTAGATGTTGGAGATAGAAAGCATGTTCTGCATTTGGGAAAACGGTTGGCATTACTTCAAGTAAACCAACATTTTGGTCAGAAATGAACGTCAACTGCCTTGCCACATTAGCCACTTGTGCAAGTTGTTGAAGGAACTAGGACTTGTTCAATGTGTTTTCGGAATCCACAACTGTGTATGTAAGTGGAAATAACCTTGACAGAGAATGCTAAATATGAATGTGCACTTATTTAATATTTAGTGTTACATATTTGGTAAGCTAAAATGGGTAGGACAAAATTGTTTGTTCTTATTCGGTCAGTAGGATGTACTAACCTTGGTTGCCATCTTTTGCAGTGGTGGCGATTAGGAATCATTTGAAACGGCCTTTTAGAAAAGTAGCATCTTGAAAAAGCAATGGACGACAATGATTAAAACCGTTAATGCAGGCTTTGAATGATATGAAGTAACAGGTGAATCAATGGGTGTGGTCATTGTACTTGAATTTGATGAAACTACTGGGGTTGTGTGTCATCACAGCATCACTGTACCATCGTAACTAATCGAAAGAAATGTTATGAACACTAAAGAGTTCGCCCCTTGCTTTTTCGACTCCCAGCCACACGACGCGGTAGCTAATGTCTAGTCCATAATCTTGTTTCAAATCTACGATAACCTCAGTGGGTCGTGTGAGTGGTCGGTTACGTACCCCATTCTGAAATAATATTAGATACTAACTCGGACCCCACCAGCGGATTTTTCGAAGTACGGACCACTACACCGCAAATGTGTTCACTGTTCCACTTTCAGAGGTAAAAAAATTCGTTGGCCTCTAATTTGCGAGCATGAACAGACCATGTACATCCATTAGTCTCGAGTATTGCATAAACAGTAGTTACACGAACCGAATCATTTTTTTTTTATTTGAATTGAAACCCACATTCGACGGCATGTTTAAGCAAGATGTTGCGGAACTCCGAAGCTCCACCCTCAAACCCCTGACCTATGTAAGTAAATCCAGTTGCCCATGAATGCGATAGGAACACCTTGTCATTGTTTGGACAAAATGTTGGCAACAAATCCACATCGTCGTCAATGTCCATGTCGCTCTGTACCCTTACACGGTCAGGAGAGTTGGCTCCTCTGTGGGGCTGTTCATGTGAAATATAGACTTTTGAACTCATAACCTTGAAAATGTTACTCTTGGGCATATTTTATAATTTTTAATGTAAATATCATGTTGGTTAGTTAATTTTAGAAAAAGTGGTGGAATTGTTATTGGTAGAGAATTTGGGAAAAATATTACCTCTTTAAGTTGGCATGAAAAATGGTTATGTTGAAATATGGTTGTGTTTGAGGGATGATGCATGTAAGGTTAAGTTGGTGTTATTAATTCGAAAGATGGTGAATATAGTGAATTTACTAATTTGATGAATTAAATTAGTTTGGTTAATATTTTAAATCCTTTGTAATTAAAGGGGTGTTATTAGGTTTTAAATTCATAACTTTAATATTTTGAGATTAAAAGTGATGAAGTTGACCAAGTATGAGATTTGGAGAAATAAGCGAGATTAAGTTGATGTGGTATGGTATATGGTCCATAACTTTACTAGTTGAGTTGTGTTATCATAAAATTATCTAAAATACATATATGAGATATTTGAATGGTTTGGTGGTTTTTGATAAGAAAAGAAAAGAATGTGATTTTAGCTCGTTGGGAGCAAATGGATGAATTTGATTAAAACAAGAATGAGTTATCAAAACTTTTATTTTATTTATTATTTTTTTCCCTTGGTTTAATTTGATAGGGTCGATGTTGATAATTGGAAAGTGAACACTCATGTTATATTTTATAATTATAGTCAAGAGAAGATTTTTCATATAATTGATTAAGTGTTGGAATATTCACTTATACTTATTAAGAATTATGATTTAACTTGAAGATTCTGAGATTTTACTTGCATGAAAAAATTGGGAATTTGATTCTATTTAATGTTTGGGATAGGGATGAGTTTTGGAAAGATTGTAATTACATTTCATTGATAAAGTATGTGAGTTAAAAATTGATGAAAACTTGAACCCGCTTTGGTGTCATATGTTATTGCTATTGATAAATCTATTGTTTAGAAGTTTTGATTTTGGTAACCGATAGAGGATTACCATGTTGGTATTTAAATGAGGAGATTCTTGGAAAGGTAAAAAAATATTTGATTTTTGGAAGTTTGCTTTATGTAAAGAATATTATTGAATTGTTTTGAAAAAACTAAGTTGGAAATTGTTGATTTACATATGGTACTTACATGAACATTGATATTATTATATTATCTCTTGGGATTTTATCATGATATTACATTGATAGAGATATAGAAATTGATCACAATGGAGCATTGTGTGGTGGAATTAAAATTGGAACTATCTTAATGCATTGTTACATATTGCATTGTCATTCCATTTCATTGTTATCATGGATTTCGAATTGCAATTGAAAACTATTGTTTTGAGAAAGGAATTGTTTTTGGTAAAACAAGATCATTTTGATTTGTTTTGGGTAAATACGTTGTTAAGTCTTGTTAGGGGGTGTAGTTTGATGTTGATTAAGTTGGCCTGAGTGTCCAAGGAGAAAGACCAAAAACACACGCGGATGAGGTACCACTGCCCGTCCGGTGAGAGACCGGTAAAGTAGGGATTTGGTAGTGCTTGATATGCCTACTTGCAGACACCAATCTAGGGATTACCTGACTTGTATTTACCACCTTGGAATTTTATTGAAATTGTTGAATTAATGTGTTTTCAAATTGGCATTGTGCATAAGATTTTCAAAAGATGAGAAAAATATTTTGAGCATGACATGTCACATACATTCATCTCATAAGACTGTATAAAATGTATTTAATGCTTTGTTAGATGTCATTATGAATTGTTTAATTATTTGATTCAATTGACAAATGGATAATTGAATGAATTGAAAAGGATATCATGTTGTATTTGAGGCATGCTTATTTATTTAAGTTAACTAGTTGTAGTTAATTAAATAAATTGAAATTAAGAGTTTATGTAATAGAATCATATGATTTTGATATGATATGATTTCACGTATATGTATGAGTATCTTTGTACCTACATATCTTCTAATGTTTTAATATGAGATTGTTTGGTGAGCTAGCGGTTGCTCACCCCTTGCCTGTACATGTGTATAGGGAATACTTTTTGGATTTAAAGATCAAATAATGGGTTTTACCATTTCATTAATATAATGCAGTAATGGATTGTACTACTTCATCTGTTTGTTTGACTGAGTGCTATTTTTTGTAAAGAGTAGTGTCCTCTCTTTTATTGTAAGCATCAGGGCATTCATTTTATTTGTATGTAAATGTCCTCATTGTATCACGAGAGGGAACATGCATATTTAATTATTTATCATTTCATCAAAAGATGAATTGTCATTTGTAAATGAACTTAATTAATGAATATTGGTAATGTTATCCGAGTAATAAAATTTGGGGCGTGACAGTTCATCAACACAAGGACCGTCCCCTTCACCCCGGTGAGGTTCAATAATCACATCAATAAGTTATAAGTTGAATGACTGGGCAAGGCATACCATGTTCCGCATGTCAACGTCGTTCTGCAAGGCAAAATTGTTATACCCTGAAATCTTGTAAAACAACAATACTTTTCTCGGAGACATCCCATCGTATTTGGTACATACAAAATCGACAAGTTTGGCAAAGTTATATGACGGTTACAGTTCATATGCAACATTGATGGACTGGTAACAACACAAAGCATGAAAAAGGAGTCCATCTGTCACAGAAATTAAAATGTTTACAGCATTGATGATTGTGTTGACATGAAATGCATTAGAAGATTGCATGCAAGAAAAACAGAATCGAACAAGAATTCACACATGATACATTAAGCGTGACATAAATACAATGTGTCCTACCTATGCACGGCAGAATATGCTCACATTGACTGCAGAACCCCCACTCCCACTTCAGACGGAGGCAAACCCTAAACCCTATTCTCTCACCTTAAAACCCTTCAGAAATTGAATCCCACACGTCTACACAAACGTTTGACCGTATATTCCAAAAAAATAACAAACTTTCTCTACATAACTAATGAGGGTACATATGTCCATCCAATGCCCATCATATCTTGAAAAAGGACTTCGTGGTGAGACATTCCACACACGGAGAACTTGGCAATCAAACAAATCAAACGTGAGATTAAATGGTCAAAGAGTTGCCAAATTAGGACTTTTCAATAATTTTTTTTTTAAGTATATCTAGATTTGATATATTGAAAAAAATAATTAATTTTTAAAAAAAAATCACTAAAAATATAAAAATACGGATTAAAAATTAAAATTTTATTTTTAAAAACTTGTAAATCAAATAGAAATATTCTTAGGGTCATGCTACATCCCCTAAAAAACATCCCCCTAATTTCCATATTAAGTAAAGAAAAGAAAAAAAAAAGGAAACAGTTGCCAGAAATGAAAATTAGGGGGATTAGGGGTGAGGATTTTAGGGCTACAAATTATTTCCCATTTTTAATATTAAAAGCGGTACTCTTGCTAAAATTATGCGGGAGATGGTGTGTACTTAAAGGTGTGGTGCAAATTTTTTTCACCTATACTTTCTATTTATGATAAATTACAGTAATCCCTATGAAATATGAAGAAAATGAAACATATAACATTGTTTTGTAATAATTATTATTGTTATACTTTTTAGTAATAAGGATTATTTATGGTAAATTACGGTAATCCCTGATGAGATATGAAGAAAATGTAACAGATTGCATCTCAGCTCTCTCTCTCTCTCTCTCTCTATACATTTCTACTACTCATCAATGGCGAATTCAGACGAATCCAACCCCCTTTTAGCGAATCAACCAAACTCAGACGATGAGAAGAAAGCCCCCAAAGCCGCCGCCGCTCCGCCGGCAAAACAGTCGCCTCCACCACCGCCAGCTGCCGGAGCCACCTACGGCTGGACCGCCGATGGATTGCCGCTAGGGCATGGAAGCGTGGTGGGAGAGCCGATGCGTCGTTCTCAGTGGGACTCCAGCCTCTTCGCTTGCCTCGGACGCAACGATGAATTCTGCAGCAGCGATCTCGAAGTTTGTGAGTTCTTTTTTTTTTGGGACAAATTTTCATTATATTGTTTAAAGGTTAAGCTTTTTGCATTTGATGATCTATGTTAATGGTGATTGTTTGTCCAATTTAGTTCTGGTTTTTTATTTTATTTTAGGTTTAATTGCATTTTTCACACCCCTTTAGTTTATCCAAGTTCACTGTAGTTTCCATAGTTTCAATTTGAATAATTTAATCATTCCGTCTATTTTTTTTTTGTTAATTTTGTCTACGTCTACACATTATACACCTTAGAAATTATTAATTTTAACATCTAATTTAGATGGAAGAACAAAATTGAAACCTTAGAAAATTTACCAGTGTTTCAAAATTATTAATTTTAACCTTCAATTTGGACGGAAGGATCAAATTGAAACTATACTTGAAGTGTAGGAACCAAATTGTTCAAATTGAAACTACCGACAGGGTTGAGAAGTGTAATTAACCCTTTTTTTTTTTTATGTCAATTGTTAATTTTCCTGTTGTGGCATTGGCAAGATGAATTCAAATGAGAATCTTGTATTATATTCATATTTATGTTTGAATGTGTATATATATGTATGAATTGCTGTATAATAGATAGAGAGATTGATTGTTTAAGCTGCTAGTGAATTAAATTCCTATGTAAATGGTGAGTGATTTAGTTGGACCTAGTGTATCTATCTAAATCTGGATTGATATATTTGTTTTTTCATGTGAGATATGTGATTACAGACATACCAGTCTATTCAAATCTGAAATTTTTATGATACATCTATTCATTATTATGACAATTAGTTGTATCAGAATTTATGATGAAGAAAGAATGCAGTATGGTGAGTGATGAATGAAAGAGCAATTAATTCATTGTCTTTCTACATGACCATATTCTAGGCAGTGGTAAGCATGCTAGTTGATGAGTGTAATTTGTTCAAAAACATATATTTGTGTTGTATTTGATCTTACCGATCAAATTTACTATGGTTGATGCACCCCATCTTAATTGGATATATTTGTGTTCCATTTGATCATAGTGATCAAATTTAATGTGATTGATGAACCCCAACTTAATTGGATTTTATTTGGTTTTATCGGTTGGATTGAATGCCTTTTGCTTTTGATTGCATGGATCTACCCTGTTACATTTTTTTATAGTGATTAGGTTCCCTTTTTTTAATAACAATTTCTCTGTCTTCAAGTTAAAAAATGAAGAGTGGGAATGTGCATTTTGCTTTTTTGACAAATTTTCATTTATAAGTTTGAAGATGGTAAACCGTAAAATGTTAAGTTGACTGTGTTTGCCCTTCATTAGTTGTCAACCCATTTCATTGGTCTTGCATTTACTTTTTTAGTTTCATGATGGTTTTTGTATTGCTGTGTACAGTTCTCTATGCTCCTAATTCTCTTAATTGATGGGTTATCTGTGATTCATCAAGTCACCTTGCTGCATTGCTTTCTGATCTTGAGTTTACTTTACTTTTCTTTTCTCTTTTTGATTTTTCAATTGTGAATTTATGTTTTGTATTACCATTTTGCATCAGCGCTCTCTCTCTCTCCCCACTGATTAATTGGAATTTGGTAGGCCTCCTTGGAAGTGTGGCCCCATGTGTGCTTTATGGAAGCAATGTTGAGCGACTTGGCTCTAGTCCAGGGACTTTTGCAAATCACTGCCTACTTTACTCCGGTCTATATTTGGTTGGGAAATCCATTTTTGGCTGGAACTTCCTGGCCCCCTGGTTTTCATATCCTAGCCGTACAGCTATCTGCCGCAAGTTCAATCTAGAGGCAAGTTATTCCTTTCATTTTAAAGTTCTGGTCTTGTTCCCACTTCACTGGAAGTGTTGTTTATGGTGTTTTCTTAATGGTACCTGAATTTTGAGTTCTTGAGTTTAGGGGTGGACACCGGCCCGTTGGCCCAGTCCTATTTTTGTGGGGCTTGGGAAGATTGTTTTATCCCATAAGGCCAGGCTGGGCCAACATTTTCAACTTGAAATATTAATGAGCTAGGTTTGGGATTTATATTTTCAATCCGGCCCGGCCCGCTATTAAATTATGTATTTATTTATAATATATTAAAATATATTTTTCTTGTTGGGATTTGGACTTTATCTTTGTTGATTTTATTGAAACTCATATTTGTGGTGATTTGTGATTGAATTCATTTTAAAAAATCCTTCAATTTATACACAAAATCTTTTAATTTATAATGATGTTTGTTGATTTTATTGAAACTCATATTTGTGGTGATTTGTGATTGAATTCATTTTAAAAAATCCTTCAATTTATACACAAAATCTTTTAATTTATAATGATGTCAATATATTGATTCAAAAAATATAATGTATGATTGAATTTAATTATAGAATATGTATATATATTTTTTAACATAATGGTCCGATGGATAAATTTGAAATTTATAATTATTTTTTGAACTGGACTTGGACAGATATAGAAGTCTGATGTTAGGGCCGGGCCTCCTTATCATGTAGTGTCTGCCCATCTCAAACCCGGTCTACCCGGCCCGGTGTTTGTCTACCCCTACTCAATTTACCTTTGCTTAATAGTTATCCTTTGGAGTGATTACTTTTATTTGCCCGTCTTTCATCTTTAGTTTCTCTCTTAACTCAATTGATTGTTTTGTATTATTTTCTGATAATAAAGATGAAACTCTCATCTTAAATGAATTGGAAACATCTAACCACAAGGTGAAAATATATTAGAGGACGACCTTGGTTTCATCCTTTTCATTCCCCTCCTTTCTCTTCGATTGCTCTTTGTGAACAAATTGATAATAAAGGTCATACCTTCCCTTCTCTTCTCTTCTTTTGTTTTCTGTTTTCTTTTCTTTCAAGCAAGGAACCAAACTTCATGTATAAATGTTTACATTTAACATCTTTAAGAATCAATTTTACAACTATTATTTTCCAGTGATCTTTTGCTATATATAGTCCTAAAGATTTTGCCATTGCAGGACTTATTTTTTCTGGATTGTCATATTTGCTCTTAAGTTTTATGGTTTTGGTTTGAAACAAACAGGGCAGCTGCGAGGCATTTCACAGATCCTGTGGATGCTGTGGAAGTTTTGTGGAGGATGAGATGCAGCGTGAGCACTGTGAATTAGCCTGCGACTCTGTAACTCATGTCTTCTGCCATGCATGTGCACTTTGCCAGGAAGGTCGTGAGCTCCGTCGTAGGCTTCCTCATCCCGGGTTTAATGCCCAACCAGTCTTGATTATGATCCCGCCTGGAGAGCAGACAATGGGTCGTCATGGAGCCTGAGAGTATTCTGCCTCAGCGTTAATATGATTCTGACTTTCTGCTCAAACTACAATTCCATCATGTACTTTGCCCTAAATTTGGTGTGTGTTCTGGCTTTGATAAGTAAACTCGAAATTTGGTGTTAATGTATACATAAGCTACCATGATAATATGTATGTTTTGTGTTTATAGCAAATAGTAATTGTCTCTGGTGCCTAGTTAGTGATATATGAAGATATGCCTTTTGTATGTGGACTAAAGTGAAGAATGCAAAATAAAAGCTGATAATCCTATGGTTCTTGTCTTAATTTTCTCTGACTGGCTGGGTTGTGAGGTTCGTGTTGTATGCTTGATTGCACATTTGTTACGTGTCACCTTAGTCTTGAAACTGAATGTTTGGTGTAGACTCGGCCATTGGAATGAGATTTATACATTTTAATGCCAAACTTGGTACCTTAATGGAAAGTAGCTACCAACTGGCAGGCAGTTCATGTATACCAAGATATTTTTTTAGCTCAATGCGTAAACAATTGTAACCAAAGGCTCACATTGGTTGCTGAGAAGAAGCTGGAATGAAAGTGAGGACTGCATCTTATCATAATGAGAGAGAGAGAGAGAGAGATTTCTATATGCATTTTTCAAATATTGTCTATTTGGTATGGCTTTCATTTTTGTTATTAAAGATGGGTAAATTACAGCCCCAGAAGTATCTCATAGAATTTATTTGGTCCCTAATCTTTAATTTATAGCAATTACATCCTTAAACTTTCCACATCAATCTAATTTAGCCCCATACCCTAGCTATTAGGGTTGCAAAGAGCCGAGCTAAGCTTTGCTGAGCTTGAGCTCGGCTCAATAAATATTTGGGCTCAAAATCAACTCGGCTCATTCATATTAATAGAACTTGAGTTTGGCTATACTCAGCTCGATAAGATTTATTATTATTATTTTTATTATTTAAATAAAGATTTTTTAAAATAAAAAATATTATTTATATTATTTAATACACAAATAATGTATTTATGCTATTATTTATATAAATTTACATATTATTTAATATATAAATAATATATTTATTATATAATTTAAATAAAGTTAAATAAAGATAAATAAACTGAGTTTACTCGAATTCAAACTTGGCTTGTTTACTAAACGAGTTGAGTCAAACCGAGCCGAACCAGTTCGCAAACAGCTTGATTCATTTGCAGCTCTACTAGTTATCGTCTTAAAAATATACAAAACATACATTATCATCTTCAGCTTTAACCCATCCGGAGAAATAGATCATATGCATGAATCTAATGTGAGCACAGAGCAGAGTCATACAATACAGATAGAAGATGCATATAATTTAAGTCATGCACAGATGCTGCCACTGAGATAAGAATCAAAGAGTTATTTAACTGCCAATCTACTTTCTGTGTCGTGCAAAAGCCAAAATGAAGCTGCTTTTTCCAAAGCTTCATGCATCAAAACACTAATTTTGATGAGTGATGGCTTCAGGCATCTTTCACCACATTTGGTATTAAGATTTCTGATCAGCCGATTGAAATGGTTACAGGAGCAGCAACAATTTTGCCAATAACCTTACCTAATGATAAAGAAGTGTAAAAGAAAAAATCGAACAATGGGGAAAGGAAAATAAAGAAACTTGTAACATCTTAGTCAGCTAACATATCATTGTGAGGTAGTCTCTAATTTTGAAGCTAAAATTTTCTGTCCAACACGATGAAAGAAAAGGAGAGAAAATCACCAAAAAAAAAGTGCAAGAGTCTCTTAACAAAAGGTACCAGACATGGAGAGTGATATTTGAACACAAAAACTCAACCTAAATAGTAGATAACATATTGGCCAAAATTGTCTATTCTCCGGGTGCTGAAACGCCTTGCTTCATTCTCTCCTTCTTCATCTTCTTCTTGGAGATTGGCTTCTTTTTCCTAGGAGGAAGGGTCTTTTGTGCATACATGTAAAGTACATAATTGCCAATGAGGAACGTTAATAGTAGGCCACCAACAACTATCAAGATGATCAATCCTGGGTTGAACCCTTTGACTTCAGCATCCTTGATCACATCTCCCTATTCAACATAATGGATGATGAAATGAAAATGTGCATCACATTCCAAAAACACCAAACAACAAAGATAAACTGTGAGAAACATGAGAACCCTAGAGCAACTACTATTTAAATCTCCATTCAATGCAATTACCACATAGTAGTTGAAGATAGTAGCTGAAAAAAACATCTCATGTTTCTTTAAACAAATATGTCATACATTCATCATCAATCAATGCACCCTGTTATCAAAATCTTACGATTCGCGATTCGATTTACGATTTGATTCGCAATTTTTACAAAATCAATACGAATCTATGGGTAAATCTATTTTGGAAGTGAATCCCTAGTGAATCGCACGATTCACAATCGATTCACGATTCAATTCACTTTTTACAATTCAAGCAATTTTTAAAATTATTGTGTCCAACATATTTTGAATTATTTTTTTCTCCATCTTTTTAGTGAAAATGACATAATACAACTTCTAATAACGTTTAATACCAAAATAACCAACATATATGCATGATTTGTTGTTATTTTAGTGATTATGGAGTTTTAATAGGATCCAATCAGATTCAATCATATCCAACATATTTTCAACTTTTCTTCTCATTTTTTTTCTCTTTAAAAAATTAAAAATATATTTTAAAGATGTTTAAGATTAAAGTTACACTATAAATTATCTATTGTTATTTTATTAAATTGAATATCACATGTGTGAGGTCAGTTATTCCTTTTAAAATGTTTCAAGTTTTAAAATAAAAGATTTTAAATAATTCTTTCTTATTATTTGCTCACAGTTACGTCAAAAAGTATGTAGGTTTATTGTCCAAATATCAATATCATTGTTAATTATTGTTACTTTAGAAATTGATAGTTTGTCTATTTAATTATTATCTTTATTAAGAATGGTTGATAAGAAATATGTAAAAAAAAAATATAAGATGGTGATCTTACATAAGAACCTTTGTTAACCTCTTACCTATTAAATTACGTAATTATCATTCAAAATAACATTTTTATTGATTTAAGTCTAAATATTTTATATGTATAAGATATATTTAACATGTAAATGTGTAGATATATATATTTTTAAGTAATTTAGAAGAAGTGACCGAATCTTTACGATTCACGATTCGGTTCGAGACCATTTCGATTCACGATACGAATCTCGATTCAACAACTATGCGGTGCACAATGAAGCTTACCACTTGCACAATCACCAAGGACTCTACTGTCTCTTGAAGAGGCCTTTTAGACTGAGTGCAAGGAGAATTTGTAACTACAAGGTGGGTATGTGATGATTTTCTTGTTATTAATATAATGTCTACTTAGCTACCAATAACTAATGGTTCCTCCCAACAAAATGCACACCAGATGCCAGTAAATGAACACAATGTTAACTGCCCAATGTCATAGTTTGACACCCAGGGATACTTGCACTGTTGTTTTTATTATGCATAAATCATTATTGATAAACAAAACAAACTCTTGAGCACATTTGAGTTAAAACAACCCACAACCAATGGTCAATGATCATTGCCCTTATTAGCATGCTCTTCATCGATGAAAGAGAGGTACCCAGGCTAACGATCACAGAAAAACCAAAGTGGAAATGTACCGCTTCTCAAAACAACATCAATCACAGATCAAAGCAAAACTAAAATGGGGTTTCAAGCAAGCAATAAACATTGGAGTGTACTAGAAATACAAAGTCTAAATAGGTTTATACATCTTTTAAATGTGACCCAAATCTGACCAGTTTGGCAACCCAGTAAACAACTCGAGATGAACTCTACTTCCACCACCACCCAATTTTGACGAATCATACATGAAGCAACAATCTCAAAGAGTCCTCCGTTTGGTTTGGAATTTTCAAAAACAATTTTTTGAATTTTCAATCCGTATTTTTTTGTTTTTAGTGATTTCTTAAAATATTTTAATGATTTGTTTATATATATAGTTTTTAGAATCACTTAATCTACATATATTTAAAAAATACAAAGTCTATGCAAAAAATCTTTCAAAAATTATGCAAAAAATCTTTCAAAAATTCATTAAAAAAAAAAAAAAAAAAATTAGTATATTTTCGTATTCTGTTGTATTCAATGATTTTGTTTTTTAAATTTTTGTACAAATTTTGTACTTTCTAAGCGTATCTAAATTAAGTGAATCTAAAAAAAGAATTTGATTAAAATATTTTAAAAAATTCACTAAATACTTAAAAATATGGATAAAAAACTCATAAAACTGTTTTTAAAAACTCCAAATCAAACAGATGGGACAAAGGATGTATTGATGGCAATGGCATGCATAACCAATTCCACTGGTCTTGGTCCACTTCTAATCTACAGGCTGAAGAACCTAAGAGAGTGAATCAGTGATGAAAATGTACTATAAAACTTATGTTCCCTACAAATAGTTATATGATCTTATTACTCCTATGTGTTTCTGATTCAAGCAGACCTTTTTCCATCACAATAACAACCATTTTCTTTATCAAAGATCAATCAATCATCCAGAAGTATGAAGAAATTAAGATGACATAGCTGGTTGGCGATTCCACCAACATGAATTTTGATGAATGTATGAACGAATATAAACCGATTTTAATGAATGATGGAATGTCCTTATCTCAAAGAATATACACATTCAAATCAAGCTCAAAATAACACTTCAAACAAAGAAAACGATGAAAATTGACTCTACAAACACTCGAATCAACATGAATTTTGATGAATGTTTGAACGAATATACACAGAATTTGATGAATGATGGAATGTCCTTATATCAAACAACATACACATTCAAATCAAGCTCAAAATAACACCTAAAACAAAGAAAAAAAAATGAAAATTGACTGTACCAACACTCGAATCAACATGGATTTTGATGAATGATGGAATGTCCTTATCTCAAACAATATACACATTCAAATAAAGCTCAAAATAACACTTCAAACAAAGAAGAAAAATGAAAATCGACTCTACCAACACTCGAATCAACATGGATTTTGATGAATGTTCGAACGAATATAGATAGATTTTGATGAATGACGGAATGTCCTTATCTCAAACAATATATACATTCAAATCAAGCTCATAATAACACTTCAAACAAAGAAAAAAATGAAAATTGACTCTACCAACCAACACTCGAATCAACATGGATTTTGATGAATGTTCGAACGAATATAGATAGATTTTGATGAATGATGGAATGTCCTTATCTCAAAAAATATACAAATTCAAATCAAACTAACACTTCAAACAGAGAAAAACATGAAAATCGAAATCGCTCAAATCAGGTTGAAAGAAGATAGAAGCAGATCTGGCAAATCAATTATCAAAATTGAGAGAGAAATTTTGGAACTGTGAGAGCGTACCACGCTATCGAACAATGGAGGAGTGTGATCGGCGAACTCAGCTTCGTAGTCCATGGATCGATTTTGAAGAAGAGCGAGAGAGCAATTGATCGATTTGTTGATCGATCGAAGAGCTTCGAGATTCTACGAGTTTGGGAAGAAGAAAAAACACAGAACGTGAGAGAGGTGGTAGAATATAAGAGTAACACGGAGAATAATTCAATTTAAGTCCTCAATTTTTGACTTATTTATGAAATTTGCCACATTACTTTTCTATCTCGTGTTTCACATTTTTCTTTTTGTATATTATTTATTATTATTATTTTTTTACAAATCCAATATCCAAAACATCATTAAAAAAATGCAAAGGATGAGTTTATTTAAAAATTCAAAATTTTAGAATTAGCAATCTATTCATTTATTCACAAATTACTAGATTATATAGATAATATTATTATCATTTTGTTTGATTCAGTGCAACTTTTGTTTTCTTCATTTTTTTTTATAACAAAATTTAATGGAAAATATTTTTTGTCAATAACGAAAAATAAATTTAATTAGGTAAAAAAATATTTTTCTCTTTTAAAAGGTGAAAAATAAATATAAGAAAACATTGTCTATAAATTTATTTTTTTTTGTTGAAACATAAGGTTTATTGATCATAATTTTTTTAAAGTAATTCGAAATGATAATTCTTACTTTATTATAATTTAATTTGATCGGATTGGTAAGAGTTGAAAGCTAATATAGGTTAAACGGTAATCACCCTATTTTACAAATTAGTTGTTGGTGAAAATAGCAGAAGAATTATATTTTATTGATCAATAATGCAAGAAAATGAGACACAAATAGATTAGGTTGAGGTACGGATATCTTATTTTCTTTAATGAGATCAAGCCTATTGTGGTAGGAAGTATTCAAATACCGATATGTAGACATCCTATTTTTGATCGACCTTAAGACTCAGACATCATGATTGAGCGCTCGGTGATGGTCCATGTTGTGCTCGTTTAGAGGTTTCGGAGTTTTGGCTGAGAGCCTTGTCTCCGGGCCTCTGAATTCTTTTGTGCTTCGGTTCGGTTTGTGGACCGAACTTTGTTTCTCTTTCCCAGAGGGAATGAGAGGTTTTGTAGACAATCTCTTTGTGGTCGTAGGCAATTTTTCCCGTTTGGAGACTAGTTTCTAATTTTTGGAGTCTTCGGCCGCGCGCCCTTATTTTGGGACAGCTTAACGTTCTCCATTTGGCGTAGTTTTTGACCCACACCTTGTTGCCTCTGCCTAGAGGAACACTGTGGTCCGGGAGACTACTTTTGTGGTGGCATACCACTTTTGATGCTCGTAGACTAGTTTTCGAGGCTTTTGGCCGCATGTTTTGCCTCCCGATCTCTTGTCTTGCATCTGTTTTGGTTTGTTTTTTGTACAAACCTTGTTTTCCTTGTTTAGAAGGTGGTACAAGGGTGGGAGACCACTTTTTCTCCTTGGAGACCACTTTTCCTTCTGCCAGCTAGTTTTCTGGTCGGATAATTGGCTTGCTTGGTCTTTGGGCCACATTTTCTGGTCGGCCACCACACCACTAGATTTCTTTCATGCCCTGGACTCTCTCCCACCATGGCTGACCAGTTTGTGTCTTGGAAGACCACTTGAAGTGGTCGGCCAACCACTTTAAGTAGCAGGGCGACCACTTCAAGTGGTTGGCTGCTTTTTGGCACCTTTTTGGAGATATTTTCCTCCAACTAGCACAGCTGGAGGGCATTTGGGCTATCTCTGAAGGGATTTGTTTGAGGCTTAGCTTCTCCAAGAAGCTTTGCCTTTTAGTTTCTATAAGAGGGAGGCTTCTCCTCCCTCCTCTAGGTTCAGAAATTTGAGGGTTGAGAGTTAGATATAGTCTTGTATTTATACTTCCTTCTTTGCTTCATTTTTGTGCCTTGAAGTGTTGTTTTGTCTTAGTTTAACACATAAACACACACTCAAACACCTTCCTTTGGTTGCTGAGGTGCTAAGGGGTTGTTTTTGGTGTTCTTGGACTGGTTTAAGCTCAAAGAATTTGCTGGAGTTGTAGTTGTAAAGGAGGTCTTCAAGGGTGAGCATTTGACCTTTAAATCCTCCTTTCTTACTTAAGCTTTTAGCCCTTCTTGCATACGTTTTTAAGATTAACTCTTAACTAGAAAAAGTTCTGTTTTTGCATGCTTAAAATAGTTGTTTCAGGTCACTTTTTCGTTTGGGGTGATTTACCCCCTCTTAGGCCTTGTTAGGCCTTATTTTGAGCCACCCCTTTAGGCTCTTGTTGAAGCCTTTGCATGATCTTTCTACCACTGAAATCCAAAGGATTTTCAGTGGTGGAAAGGTGGTTTTGGTGTCTTAAATAGGAGAGGGTCATCCCCTCTCCTTGTATTGTGTTTACTTGCTTCATATGCCTCATGTTTGAGCACCTTTGTTAAGCTTATGTTGGTCATATCTTAGCTTGTATTTGTGGTTATTTTGCTGAGGCATACCACTGTTTTTGCTTGGTTTGGTCACTTCATGCATGGTTAATACACTCGTAGTGTAAATCACACAAACTAGCTTTATGTGCTTCATGAAATAGCATGTCATTCTAGCTTGTTTTCTTTCCATTTCAGCATATTTTTGGTGATGTTTTGCCATGTCATACCTCTGTTAGGGTTTGGTTTGGTTAGCTTTTGCATGCTCCATGCACTTGTTGTGCATTTTCATGAAATAGCCTAACATGCATCATATTGTAACATGTCATTTTAGCATACTTTTGACTTAGCTCTGAGAAGCTTTTGTCCATGTTTTAGCATGCTTAAGCTCTGATTTATGTTTTTTTGGTCATGCATGCCATGCTTTGTATAGCTATAGTGCATTCTAGCTTGTTAGCTTTGTGTATCAAGTCCACTAGCATGCATTACTTGGACTATTTTAATGATTTGGCATAATTTATTATGTGATTTCAATCCTTGTTTCATGGCCATGCATCCACATTTGTCACTCATTCAATGCGTTGAAGGGATTGCCCTTTTATGCCTTAACATGAACCATTGCGTATGCCTTCATGCCATAGATTGCGAGCCATCATTTCAATGTGTTTTTGGGGTTATTTTTCCATAATATAACTCTGATTTTTATTGGTTAAGTCATCCCATGCTTGGTCTTAATAGGTGTAGTGTAATCCACCTTATTTGCCTCGTACGCATCATGCCTTATGCCCTCCATGCTAGCTTATTTTGACTTCCTTCCATGCATGTTTTAGACTTATTTTAACATGTACTAGGACTGTTTTGGGTTACCTTGATCACATGCTTCATGTTTTGCATTCTTGTAGTACAAGTGCCTTGCTTGCTTCAAGCTTTGAGCACCATTGCATGCTTTATTTGTGTTGTGTACATGATTTGGCATCATATAACATGACATTTCAGAGTTTTTAGCATTGCCATGTTGCCACTTCATTCACTCTTTAAGTGCCTTTGAGTGTTATGCATCGTTTCCTAGTTTATGCCTTAGCTCGTATGCTTGCATGCCTAGGCCTTTGAGCCCTCGTCTCAGCATGTTTAGGTCCTTATTTTGACCTATTTGAGCTCTGCCCATGCTTAGTTCATGCATTTTTTCCATGAATTGCATGCCTCCTTTGTAGTCCTCTTTACTAGCTCTATGCTTTAAGGAACCTAGCATGCCATGCTTGTGTTGATTAAGTGATTTGGCATCATTTCTTGTCTAATTCCAGTGCACTTAGTGTTGTTACACTTCCACACTTTTCACTCTTTAAGTATTCTTGAGAGTTGCACCTTAGTGCCTTAGTTGGTGAGCCAATTGGCATGCATGCTTATATATGCTTTTGGTGCCTTTGCTTTTGTGGTATGGCCGCTGTTTTGGCATGACTGAGGTCTGTCTATTTCGGTTTAAGTCCATTAAGTATGTGGTTTGCATGTTTTTGCATCTTTGGTGTATTGCATATTGTTGCCCTTATTGCATTGCATTGCATTGTGCATGCATGCATTACATGGTGTTTAGAACCTTATGATTGCCTTGCATTGAGTATGCCATGTAGTTCATCGCATTGTGTATGCTTATGTTTCATTGCATTGTGCATGGCCTAACATTGCTAATCTGTCCTTGTAGTATTGCATTGTGCATGCTTGTGTTAGCATTGTTATCATTAGCTTTGTTAAGTTAATCATATCACATTGCATCGGGTATGCCATGTAGTTGCATTACATGTTTGCCATGCTTTTGTTGCATTATGTTTGGAATAGGTGTTAGTCCAAACACGGGAAACGAGGGATGTTTCATACTTAAAGTGATGAAACACGTGCCTTAATCCCCGGTCGCCGATGCTCTTGATCATACATGATAGAGTTTTAAGCTTTATGTGTTTACTTGTGCATTCATTTTACATTGAATTGTGCAACTTCGCCTCTCGGCCATCATGCATTGAAATGCGCAATCGGTGGCCCGAGGGTCGAGAACCACACTCTCTTGAGTTCATGACATGATAGGGAGGGTGGTTGTGCACACATATCTTGTAAATACATTGACATCCCCTTTCTTGCTCTTTGTTGCAGTAAACTGCAGTTCAGCAGCAACAACTGGCCGGCCAGCCAGAAAAACTAGCTGGCCGACCACTTTTCTGGTTTTTCAACAACCAAAAGTGGTCGGCAGGTGTCTGGAGGGACCAAAAGTGGTCGGCCACCCTCCCACAGGTTTCCCTAGGTGGAGTTTCAGTTTTCTGGAGCTTGGTGCAAGTTTCTGAGGACAGATGAAAACAGAGGCAAATCGGGGCGTCGCATTGGATTTTCGAACGAGGCAACCGGGCTTACATGCATTCCTCTCCCTCTGAGACTCCTGATATACTACTTTCCTTTGCTGCCATGCTTAGATAGCTAGTTTTTGCTTTGGTTTATACTTTAATTAGTTAATGCGTTAGCTATTCAATTCGTTTTGTAGTAATTAGTTAACTAGGATTAGTTAATTAATTTGTTGTGTAATAATTAGTTTAATTAGCTTAGATTAACTAGTTAGCTTCTTATTCGGTCTCTCTCTCGAGAGGGCCAATTGTTGTAATAAGCGTGCGTGTGTGTGATACATGTCTTCCAATCCCCATTTCTTTTTCCCTTTTACTTAACCGCTTACGATGGTTAGTTTTAGGGCATATTTCATTTAGCATACCTTATGCTCACATGAGTGCATCCATTCATCTGTATTGCATGC